CATTTCAGCTGCACCACTACTTAAAATTTTAAGTTATAACTACCTAACCTTTCGAGGAGTAAAAAATTAACTTTATATAATATTGTAAGAATCTCACATTAAATATAATTTTGCATTTGGCCACCAAAAATATGTGTCAGTAATGAACTTTTTCAATTTGTAGCTAGTTATCAAAGCAACACAGCCATGTTTACTTTTTGGTAGTATTGCGTTTTTTTTATGTATGCAACTAATCATTAAAGTCAAAACACAAGACTTTCTCATTGAATTTTTTGCCATTCTTACGTTTCTTCATCTCGATTTTTCTCAAAACTAATTTTTAGTTGTAACAGTCTTATTCTAGGTGTGCGATATACCTTATCTTTATTCTAATAATCGACTCACTCCTATTTTGGACAATCCTTTGTATACGGACACCTCATCCAAAAATTCGTCCAGGTATTCGTGTTCATTGTAGTTTTCGTTGTAATCGTACTCCCCTTCGTTCAACATCACGTCTTATTGACTTTACAAAAATAGGAAATAAAAATGTCCACTCAACACGACTGCGCCGGTCGTTGGACACGATACAGTCAAATATAAACAAATATTACTAGCCTGTATAGAAATTATTAAATTGTGTTTTAATTATTTTTTATCCACTTTTCTGCAGCTAATTTTTCCACAAGTAAAGTGTGTTTGAATCGATTTAGCTGCCTAGGAGGAGCTTGTGGCAATGCTCATTTTGAATGCTTGCAACGACTGCAGACACTTGTTTAAATAGTTCTACAAACCAATTTGATTTCTTTGGCGGCTTTATTTCTTAAGTCCTAAACCAATCATTAAGATATAGAAGTAGTAAATAATTTTGATAGTGATAAAATCACGATCCGAATAAGCGATTCCAATTGTGAAATTATTTTCAGATTCTTATTGAAGGGTTTAGAATTTAGCAGTTATTGGCAGAAGTATAAATAACTAAAGTTAGATCTGTACCATTTTTCTACGAGAGTATGTTGGTTTTGAGAGGTGATTGGGTTATAACTATGATTTTGAATCCACGCTATTTGAAATAATATTCTGAACTCCGGTAATATCAAGAGAAATTGTACTTAAAATGTTTAAAATAACTTTATTAGTCTAAAAATTATTTTAAAAATGCCTTATTACCTCCAGATAATAATAGTGTAAGATAATTAAGCGGTGTAATACTTTTATTTATAACTAATAAAATTATTGTTTTCTATTTGTGGCTAAAATGTAATTGTTTATAGTTTAATTCAGATCTCGATGCTACTCTGGGCTAAATAAAGGGAACTGATGAAGCAGTATGAAAACATATGATTCATACCTCGTCAGTTCACTTTGTTTCGCCCACAGGACAATACTGCCTGAATGAACTTGGAAGAATACACCATTGACAAGGATTCAATGAGCCGACATGCCACCGAATGCGGACTAGCAGCACTGATAAAGCAGCCTGCTGACATATCGCCAAACCACTCTAATAGCATAGTCGAAGATCTCGCACTGTTCCTGCAACCAGTCCTCGCTTATTTATTTACCTTTTTTATTGGGGTAGTCGATTTGTAACATTCCTCTTCTGTATAAAGAATATTTTACTAAATTATATTCAGTATTCGTATCTCTTCTTGCTTGCAACAGAAATTGTATCGCTTTAACTTATTTGTGGTCATTAGATAACACGATTATTTTTATTTGATTTTTATAAGGGCCTCTTTATACCTTATATCAGTTTTAAATTCGTCTATGAATCAACGTTTAAAAACACGAGAAAGATCTAATATCTAAAAATTTACAAATGACAAGAATAGAGAAAAAAAATTAAATATACTGTGATGTTGGTTTTATTTTTATAGTTTTTCAATTAAACAATCTTTTCTAAAAATATTAATCATGTCCAAGGAAAATTGTTTGTTGTATTTTACATTTTGTTCTCTTAGAAAAACGAAATTGCGATTGTGGCTAAGATGGTAATCTATTATAATGTAATTCAAATTTTTAGTTCACTTTTTAGCTATTTTGCAGGTATATTTTGACCATTAAAAAAAAAACAAATCCATTAACTCAGGGCTGTAATAATAATAATAATAATAATACATGTTATTTGAAATTATAATCACATTTATCTATGATATGTGATATAATATTTGTATGTATAATGTGTGTATTATCTATATACATTTGTAATAATTATTGTACATTTAATGTATGCATGTTTAAATGTATTAATCTTCGTGTAACGTATTAAAACTAAAATTTGTATGTGTAATGTTGTACTGTTTTTTTTTATAAATGAGATTGCTGTATTAACACTGCTTTAATATTGTAATCATAAACCTCTTGCAGGTGTTAGTTTGAATGAAACTATCAATTTTGAAATGTAGGAAAGCCTATATTGACATTTACCATGTAGCAATGTGTAAATATAGCATTTATAAAATCCACGACAACTAAAAATATTATTTCTTGATTTCAAACTCCTGGAGTTTATCTATTCGATGCATACAGACTATGCTTAAGTACAATAATACTGACTGTCCAATTGTGATCACCTACAATCTAAATAGCATACATTACTGTTGATGGTCCAAGATAATAAAATAAAATAAATATCAATGAGATAAGAACACTTCACAATTCACAGACGGGTTTGCAATAAACGTGTTACATGTCGGTATGTTTGCTGTCTGTAGTATAAAAATCAAAGCACGCATAATAGGTTTTGATGGATCTAAAATTTATTGTTTTCTATAAAAAAAACCTCTAGTGTGGAGACTCTTAAATCTGTAACTCCAAAAATAGGTAAAATATCCAATTTTATATTAAGTGAAATTTTTTTTAAATAACAGACATTTTAAGCAGAAAAAAAATCTATAAGCAATTTCATCGAATTTCAGGCATTACACTATATATTATAAAAAGAATATGTACTCAGTGACGTACTTTAGGGGTGGCAAAAAAAAAAAAATTGTAAAAAAGTAATATGTTATACCTAGGTATTTTTTGTATAATTGTTACAATGTTACTCTCTGAAGTAATTTAGAACTTGAAGTAAATAAGTATAATAAATAATAATTGTACAATTAATATTTTAATTATTAAGTGTTTAATGTTTTGTACTGTTTTGACTTTTGTCTACTATTAAATGCTCAAACGCATACCTACCTATTCTGATATTAAAAATGTGAATTTACAATAATTTTATATACCTAGCTATATTAGGTACTGTAAACTGTTTAAACATATGTAAACACATAACTGATTACACAATAATAACTATTGTCTATTTATAACAATAATTAATGTTCATACAGTGTTCAACTATGAAAACAAAAATATTGCCGGATTACCACAATCTTTTTATATTGTATTATCCATATTATTATTATTATTTTTCGACAACTATTGGATTGTAATAATTTATTACATTGAAACATCACATTGGTTTCATTCTTTCCTATTCTGCCGATGGAGAAAGTTGTGTTCGTACGTAAATATTAGGCAAGATTATTAATTTGTATTAATTAATATATTATCAGAGACAGGCAAAATAATTATAAAAATTCTTTTCAAAGAGAAGTGATTTGTGTACTGTTTTTTTACCCCCCCCCCCCCCTGAGCAAGATTAAATGTACGCCACTGTATGTATTCCTCGTGATTTTTTAATTATTTTTTCCATGCCTTATCTAACGAGCCTTGAGAATTAAGGAAATTCAAATATATAATTATGGTTTTTTTCCATTAAGTAATGAAATTATGTGAACTCTTATTAATGAATATAATGTAGCAATGGGTATAGATAAGTTTACTAGTAAGTAGTAGTAGAAATAAATTTATAGTGCAACAATAATAGGAATATTTTAATACCCTGGGTAGTAATGCATCATCTTCATTTCATCCTTCACAGTTCATAACTTATTTATCATATAATATGATTTCAAAGTTGTGTTTTAGTTTTTTGAATATTGTATTTGCTGTCTGAATAGTGCCCTTACTAATAGTGAATACTTATTTTTCAAAAAATATTATATTATAACGGGCTTGTTAATAGGTAGTTAAAATATTGAACATCCAAAATAGTACAAACTAGAATGACATCGTGAAATAGTTGTACGTCAGCATTTAATGCAGTCATTTGTATTGTCTGTTATTATTAACTGTCTTACAGAGCTCGTGTTACTAGAATAATAACCTAATTAAAAAATTAGAATACTTAATGGGCTTTTGACCAGTTCTGTACAGTAATATAGGGTCAGATCATATTGGAAAAGATAAAATAACTTTCAAATAAACATTTCGATGCGTATCTTTAGGTTTTTATACATATAAAAGCATTACCGATAATTTACTTGTATTTTTAATAGGTATTAGGATGGAAACGATAAGGGTTGATCGTTCGTCTATAATAATTTGTTGCCGTTGTGACTAATATATTATACTGTAATAATAATTAAGAGTAGTTATAATTTTTATTTTAAATTTGGCTTAAAGTATTTTTTTGGACAGGTTAGTATATATATTCTATACAAATTTCTTCTCGATCGGACAGTTTTTCGCTTAGTTATAGCAAGTTTTAATTTTCATGTTGAAAAACTGGTCTAGTTTTTTATGGTTTTCCCAGTTTTGAAGGCGAAGGATTAGTTTTTTCTACTTTTGATCCAACAAAGTACCAATGTATTTAAAAGAAACGTTCTGGGTACAGCTTTATTTATGAAAAAATTATTTCTTAAGGTTTTCTTGGAGCTTTCCAACTTGTAATGGTGAATGAGTAGAATTGTTAGGTTTAATGGTTTTTTCTGCTTGATTGACAAAGAATTCACAAATGTTGAGCTGCTCGACAGATCAATTTATACTAACTCAATATTGACATTTAATTATATAAATAAACTAGAGTAAACTCTATTAATGAATCTGGTTTATACTTAATAGTAGAAGGACAAATATTGTACAAGAAACGAAACCATGACTTTGATTTAAAGTTAATTTTTCATTACACATTATTCAAATGTTGCTTCCTCTTCATGAGACGAATTGTCAGAATTATTAAGTTCATTGCTTTTCGGATGACGACTATAAAACACGCAATTGCTCTTCGGTTGATACTTGTCTACGGTTTGCATTACCGATTCAGGGAAATCTCCAGTAGCTCTTCTACAAAGTATACGTGGTTATTAATTAAATTTAATTAAAAATGTATCAAATGACAGCACACTGCACTTACTGTACAATGTCTTCTGGGAAACAGCAATTTATTCCTTGCAGTATTTTGTACATTTCCGTATCAGGAGCTGGACTATATTGCTGGATTCTTTTAAGATGGCCGTCTAGAATAAAACTTCGTCTCGCCTTAGCGTTCGTTGGTAAAATCTAACAATACATATATAAATTGGTATACTCTTATTATTTGTCTATAGATTTTTTTTTAAATAAATAATTTATAGACGATATAACCATTCATAAGTTTATCCGTTACTAAGAATACAAATATAGGCCTTACACTGATTCTTGATTATCCCTTACTTGAACAGTAAATTATTTTATTACACAGCATACACATTCGAAACACTAGTCTTTGCTTCTTAATACGGTATCCTCTAATTATTTTACATACATTGTTGGACACTTTTCCTCTTCAAAACTGCCTATAATATCTGTGGCTCTTCCTAAATCTATCAGCTGTAGTAACTTTTTTTTTAGGCTTTACGAGCTTTTCAGGTTTTTAGCCGCCAAAACTATTTTTCTATCGCTCTTTATCATAAGCCAGCTCCCAGTCTGCTCCAATGTCTTCTATACAGTAATTCTCTGACATGTCTTTACGGTCTCGACCTTGGTCTCTTAACTCTTTCCCCTCATCACATATATCATTGCTTCTTTCAACATACTTCCATAAATGGTCTGCGTATTCTATCTTTGTTCCTCTGATGAATTGGATCATATCTTATTTTTTGTACAACTGGTATAGTTTGGCGTTAGTTCTTATTTCCCAATTCTGATATTTGTCTAAGAACTTAACTCTCAAATTCACGTAATTTTTCATCTCTCGATGACTTGTATATGAAAGAGTGTTTCTTGTATATTGTTACCTTATTCCATAATATCTGCAATGGCATAACCTAACCTAACCTCGGATACAAAATAACATCTAACCACTCAAAGAAAGCTACCTCCAACATGTCTACAAGAGAAGTTTGGAGAGTAATGTTCCTAGTTTCTGACACTCTTCCAGTAGCAGTGAACTAACCAACGATAAATTGACGATAGTGAATAAAACAAAGCTGTTAATACTTTTAAAAATTGTTCCAAGACGCATATGACTATTTCCATAGGAGTTGAATCCGTTAACAATGTATTTAACGTCACTAAATCGTCGCATTTACACAGCAATAGTTTCATTGTGACTTCGGTCTTCAGTCGGATTTCGGCTCCAGATTTAGTAGACTTAAGTATCTACAAGGTATATATTATTAACTGTGCTTGTGGTAAGTAAAGGTTTACCTACTTCTGTCATGATGCAAACCACGTTGCCCGTGGTGCATACTGCTCTTGAATGTTCACAACTGTGTTTGCCTATCAGACCTAGCGCCCATATCACACCGGCTTTGAGGAATTCGTCGTCGTCGTTTTCTAAAATACCGTTGAGCGGAAGCAACACCTATGAGATGATAAATGCTATAAAAAACTTTTGTGCGTCTTACTAATTTGAAAATAATACACGTTGTCTTACGTCTGACTGAATGATGACAGAAGCGAGCAAAGGTGACGAGATAGCGATATAACCAATAGCTATCACGGCCGGAAGACAGCAATGTTCTTTACTGAGCTTAATAACGTTCATCAGGGCGGCTATTCCTCCAGCGTTGACTACCAATTGGGAAATCTATTTATTAAACAAGAAATTAAAATTAAAATTTTTTAAAATAAACTTTTCTTCTTTTTGGTTTTTAACAAATTTTAAAATAAATGATCAAGTAATTAAAATACATGATACATTATTTTTTAATAATTTACTTATAAATGCAAAGAAAATTATAATAGCCTAATTCATTGTAGTTCAGCAAAGATATATTAGAGCTCATAACAACCTAACGGGCTCATTTTAAGTACAGTATTAATAATAATAAAAAATGCTTGTTGAGACTTGAGATGTGACAACATTTGGTTAGCATAAATTATATTGAATTCAAATATTAAATTTAAATCACTGGGCTGAATATTTATTGTAACTATTTTTAAATAAATTAAGAATTTTTTCACGATTAATGGTATGAGTTGGAATTGCTTAAAAATGTTGCTACATTCAAAGTAATATGGTTCCGACAAATCATGATACAAACAAAGTAAATTATTTTAAAGTATTTTTCTATGAATTACAGAAAATTGTTCAACGTTTTTTTCATCGTTATTTATCATTTATTGCTTTTATCTTCAAATGTCCTTTAGCAACCAGAAACTTCAATAACCATAATCATATTGACTGTTTAGTCTTTAAGACTTAAATAACCAACATTATTTTAGTTAAATATTGGCAAAAATGTATGTATTAAAAAAAAAAAATAACGTGGTTTTTTCAGGAAAAGTTTAATTTTAAATCACAATCACTCACTTGAACGCTTTGTTTAACCATTTCACCGACGACTTTTGCAGCTTCGTTGCGAACCAACTCGTCCGGACTACCCATCAACACCAATATCGTAGGAAACAAGTCTGCCTCGATCGCGTTCTCCGACAAGCTCAAACAGTGTCTGACGATATCCCTGATGAGAGCCAACGCTCCTCTCTGTGATTTTTTAGTAGACTTTATTTGAATCCAAATTTACTACAATCGACGAATTCACATTATTTAGGTTATTACCTGAACTTTAATGTTCGTATGGGTCGACGACAACAGGCATACAATGTACGGTAGCTCCGATGCGGTCACGATCGTTTGGGCCAAGTCCGCGTTGTGTTTGGCGATTCGGTCTAGAGCGGCTAACGAAGCAATTTTCAATGTGGTCGGCTGCTCTTTCAAGCACAACAAAATTTGAGGCACTAAACCTGAAATATAGTGTAATCAGAATGGGAACCATTCCTTCAGATTGGGGAAAAGTATGATGTGTAAAATATGATATGATTTTTCTGTTTTTCGTTCCTAAAGTCTAGCAAGACGCACACATCTATATAATTTGATACAGCACATGACAAGAAAACGTGGAGAAATATTGTAGGTGAGACTGCAAGGTCCGCTAAGCTATTAATAAGTGAATTTGAAAACGGATAAGTTTCAGAATTTTGAAAAGACCAAACGAGACGAGTTCTTGTTTTATGCATTTCGGATTAAGCCGAAACTAGTTAATTTTTAAGAAAAACTCAAGTAATTTGTTAACAGTTGAAAAATAATATTGCAATATTTTTTTAATTTTTACATTTGTTAGGATTATCTATTCTTTTTTACAATTACAAAATATGTTAAAAGAGTCATTTTTTTCAATTGATTTGCTTTTGAAATGTACATACTCGTACTATATTATTCATTGTAAATTTGCGTGTCCTGGATAATCATTATTATATTAACTGTTCACAGATATTTACATAAGTATTTTAATAATCTGAGACTACTATGATTAACTGGTGAAGATAGAAAATACCTGCATTGACTAATTGCGTCGAAAGGTCAGGACCATGACGTGCTACCGATGCGATAGCTTGCAATGCAAATTCTCTGACGAGCACATCGAAATCGTCCATACAAACTAAAATGGCGTCCAGTCCTCCGGACGTCAATACAATTTTAGTGAAATCCTCATTGTACTTACAAATGTTCCGAATAAAATCCATGCAGTTTTTTTTATAGTATTTCTACAAATTAACAACAATTTTAAAATTTAGCGCACAATACTTTGTGTAATCCATCTTTAAAAAGAATTAATATCGACAAATAGATTTGTTCGGATATAAAATGCTGGATGTAAAATTGGTAGTATAATGTCAAAATTTACATTTTTTTAAAATTGAATCATAAGTGGAGGAATGATTATGTGCTAAAAATACTAGAATCGGTATACAAACATATCGAGAAAATAGTAATAAATATCTGGGGTTTTCCTTGCTAAGTATTTCTGTAGGGATTTTCCAGCTAACATTTGCTATTGGAATACTCCAATAGCAAGAGACGGTATGAATCATAATAAACTTGATATGGACGCTAAACAAGTTATTCGTAGGTATTTTTGTTTTGTTACGCCTTGTTCGAATAGCCGAGTCTGAGAGGAAGCAACGTAGTCTGATCTGATTTTTTTAATTTTAAACTCACGTTTTCTTTGGCGACGCAATCGAAAACGCGCCCTAACGTGACGGAAGAGCTTAAAACTTCCATGGCACACGATTCACTGTGGCCGATCATTCGGGATAAAAACAGGACCGCGTTCGTCCTGACTGTCGTGTTCGGGTCGCCCACCAACGGCTTTGCCATCGCGATAACGCCGTGTTTGCGAAGACATTCTATGTACGCCGGTTTGATTGCCAGGTCTGCAATGGTCTGCACAAAAGCCAGTTTGCTCTTATTGAAATTTTCTACGACTTTTGCGTTGACAAAAACAAAACCGACGGTTAGAAACTGTTTTTTATCGTCCGCTTTAACGTTATTCCTACCTTGAACGATTGCCTTAGGAGATGAAGTCATCCTGTTCTTGGAGAAAATATCCCAAGAAGAAAATTTCCTAGAAAATGAATGTCGCTATTTTTTTTACCGTGGAAACGAAAACTGTTTTTTTTTTTTTTTTGTAAGCCAACCATTTGTTAATACAAGTTTTTTACAATTATCAGCAAACTGGGGTATCAAATAATTCTTAAAGTACGATCAAATCATATCGATTATCATTACATCTGTCATATTTGGAACATTAATATGTTATCCATTAATTTGAGTTAATCACCAATTCATGACTTATTTTTTATTTAATTTTGTTCTTTAGAGGGCTTCTAACCATTTACTTGTGGAACTTGGTAGTGATCTGAGAATGATTTTCACCATTATTCGGAGTGATTAATACTCTGATGTGTATTATCCTATATTGGTTTCCTCGACTTAAGTCTGAATTGAGGTAACGAATCAGATCAGTCGTTACCTACCATAATAATATATCCTTTCACTACTCTGTAAGGTATAAGACATCTGCCTAGTACATTATAACCAAAAAAGTTTTAAAAAATATACTAAAAACAAAAATAGTCAGTAGATGCAGTTACTAAAAAATCACATTCAAGAAAATGCTTCGATGCGAATCTAGGATACTGGACCCCACTTCGGTAAATTTTTACTGTACTGGTTTGAAATATGCTTGATTCGGACTATGTTTAGTTTGGACTGTGCTAGCTTACACTGAACTTGTTTAGACTGTACTTGGTTCGGACTGTGCTTGGTTTAGACTGTGCCGGTTTATACTATGCTGGATTCTTACTATTTCCAAAATCGTATCGAAGCGTTTGATTGTGATTAAATCAAATTCAGATTTCATAATTGATATGAACCATCATTGATAACTTCTTCTGTACTGATTTATACAGCGCTGGTTTAAACTGGGCTTGGATTAAAATGTACTGGTTTAGACTGTACTTAGTTCCACTGTGGTTGGTCAGGTATTAAGCTCAGGTCTGTGGTTTACTCCTTCAGTCACCTTGCTGAACAGAACGTTCTCTTTTCATTAGTACTGAAGACAAGTTTTAGGTCTTTGTGGCAAACCACTCATAATTCTCCGTTTTCATTATTCACATCATAGCGCCTGATGTGGTATTGATACACTAATCTTTGTCATATGACGCCGATATAACTGGACTAGTGCATGTAAGATTACGAGCAAGCTATCATCTTTCTCCCCGGTACTATGTGGATCAGCTGAGATTAAAATTTACCATACGTTTTTCCTTAGTAATGCTTTGTTTATTTTTTACCTATTTTTTTATTGAGTGTATACATACACAAGCTTTGACTTTATTTGTGTCTATACACTTTATTTGATCAGTTACCTATGAATTAAAAACAAACAATAATGTCAACTTTAATCGCAGTACAGGGCCTGGTTATGATGTTTGGTGGCATATTTTTGGCAAGTTTTTTTTGTAAATATATTACACGTTAAACCTAAAAAAAATAAGATATTATAACATAAAAACCCTGGTACTGATTATTTCATGTATACATATGTTTTAAACACAGTTTTCAACTGTAAATATAATTATTTTACTAGAATTAGTTATACTATTGAAATGTTTTAATAGTACTTATAACATTTTCTATGTTTACGGTTTATTATTCTTTTTATTTAACTCCGATGTGTTGGTTTATTATTTAATACCTTTATTATTACGACTATAACAAAAAAACAATTTTTTATGTTGCAGCAATTATCAGCAGGCGCACTACTTATTCTGTCAAGAATAATTTTTGATAATCCAGAGAATTTAGGTGAGTTATTTATGTAAAAGTGTTATCCACATACTCATACTAAAATAGGATTCAATAATAGTCCTTACGCTTATTTTTATAAATAGGTACCTTTAATTTTATTTAGGTATGTGAATAATAAAATATAATAGTTGATGATTACATTAAACAAATAGAAAAATAAATTGTTCGGTGGCTACTTATATTTTACTCACTCATATTTTTTTAATAGAAAAAAACTGAATTATTAAAAAGATATTTAAAATGTGAATTTTTCCCGTGAAGTCCAGTTTTATATAAAAACTAAGCTCATAAATAAGTAAACAAAAATAATATTTGGAGACCAATATCCAAATACTATTAATTAACCAATTGATATACTTAAACTTTTATCGTAGACCCAATTTTCGACAAATATTGCCAATATTTTACTTCCTAATAAATAACCGTTCTCAGTAGTGCCAACATTGTATACTATATAAGGACGTTAGGTTAGTACACGGTATCAATAGTAAAGTTATTGGTGATTCAATACAAATAATATTTAATATACCTACAAGTTTAATATATTAATTTTTAATTTTACAGAGTTTTCCATGGCATCCACAGGTGTTCATATTCTAATAGCAACAACGTGGTTAATAGTGCTATTTGGATCAGTTAGTATTTCTTAGCATTACTAAGTAACTACAATTACTGAAAGCACAAAAATCGTTCAAGTAGTATAGTTATTTGGATATACGTACTTACATACTTTTTGTTTAGTAGTAGGACATGTGCTCTCATATAAGGTGCATCACTCTGAATATTCGTTGTTCTCACAAAAATTACCTTTTATATTGGTATATTTTTACTTAGTATTAAGTATAAATTTTTATCAATAAACAAAAAAAGTAGAGATCCCTAGAAAAATAGATTAAAGATAAATATAGAGATAATGTATTAGGGATAAGATATTAGAGACACTAGATTAGACATAAAAATAGAGATATCAGATTAGATATAAGATATGAGAGATACCAAATTAGAGATAAGAGACAAAAACATGGCCGCTTGAGAGGGGGTCGATATCAATGAAATACACGCTCTACATAGGTGGTGTTTTAAAAAAATAATTATTAACTTCTAATTTAAAAATTCAATTGAAATTCTGACTATTCATGGAAGAAAATGTCTTTAATATCCATAATAGTAGCTCTATTAAATCTTTGATATATTTAATAATTATTTCTTAACTATAAATAGTAGTTAAATAATAGATACCAATCTTTATTCCTAATTACCTACTATTGTTTTCTTTAATCAATGAAGGTAATCTTCAGTATAATTTATTCAGTATTTATTATACATTAACTTATAAATATTAGAATGATATAAGTATTTATAAAATGTATACGTCGTATGTGCTGAAAAATTTTGTGAAATCTGTAATCTTTTAATGTATTTAATAGTTATAAAAAAAAAAGTTGACAACGGCTTTCTTAGAAAAGTGCATATTATGTAATAGCTCCTTTCTATATTTACCTTTCAGTCTAATATTTTTACCTTAACACTAAATCTTCACTTAAAAAACGAAAAAAAGAAAAGTGTTCCACTCCTTCTACAGGAAAGGGTTTATGAATTTTTTGGTTAAACGGTAGTTTTATGTTTAAAGAAAATCTCATACAATGATCTAATAAAACTATTTTTTAAAAAGTTGCAGACATAAGTAATATTAACTTAAACAATATCTAAAGTATATGTTGGTTTTCTCAATAATTAAAAAAAATAAGATATCTTACAGTTACGACTTTTATTCAATATTAAAGCTAAATAAAGGAATAGGTTCAGGGGCTTAAAAAAAATGTCGTTCTAGACACAAAAAAAAAACAAATACATTATTGTAAAAAAAGTACCTTCACAGCTCCGCATCAAAAATTCACTTGCCAAAAATTAAAGTTAAATAAATAATAATTTCAACGAACAGTGTTTATAAAATACGTATAAATTAAAACAAAACCGATTTTTTTTTTATCGCTCGATGCTTTATACTTTACTATAATACACTATAATATTTCAAGAAACCCAAAGAAGTTGGTTGAAGGAAGGATGAGGATAATAAGTTCACACTATTTTAGTCAAGTAAAAATAGTATAAAATAATTTAATTTGTTTCAGAATTCTATAACATGTATAAGTCTAGCTATAAAACTATGGATAGCATTCATAATATTATGGATAGGGTTGACAATTTACTCAATAACCACAAATGAGTAAGTAAATAAACTACTAATATTTACTATAGTATATAATGTATACTAACAAGTTTTAATTGTTATATTTTCAGTAGTTTTTTATATGCTAATGGTCGCAGTATATCGTCAATGTTTTTAATTAAAAACAAGGAGCCACGATCATCAAAGAAAGGAGCGTCTAATATATTTACGACAACTAAAGGCATCCCTAACAAAACTCCTCCAGTTACCAATTCTGTTTTTACCCCTCAAAATACAAAACCAGGACCGACTGAAAAACCAACTACACAAACCAAATCATCTGTTCACACCAAACTGCCATCGACAAACACAAACGAAAATATTTCTCCTCCAACTGCTTCTAAAAAAAATACAACTTCACAGACAGATACGACTAACACTTCTTCCACCACACTTGTAGAAACCACTACCACATTAACAGCTACTACCAGCTCTACTGATTCACAATCTACACAATCAATAAAACCTGACAAGAACTCCACTTCTTCCACCACACTTGTAGAAACAACTACTCCATTAACAGCTACATACAGCACTACCGATTCACAATCAATAAAACCTGACAAGAATACCACTTCATCCACCAGACTTGTAGAAACAACTACCCCATTAACAGCTACTACCAGCACTACTGATTCACAATCTACACAATCAATAAAACCTGACAAGAACTCCACTTCTTCCACCACACTTGTAGAAACAACTACTCCATTATCAGCTACTACCAGCACTACTGATTCACAATCTACAAAATCAATAAAACCTGACAAGAACACCACTTCTTCCACCACAATTGTAAAAACAACAACTTCATTAACAGCTACTTACAGCACTACTGATTCTCAATCCATAAAAACTGACAATATTACCACTTTATCTACCACAATTGTAGAAACGACACCCATATTATCAGCTACTAACCGCACTACTGTTTCACAATCTTCACAATCAGTAAAATCTGACAGTATTACTACTTCTACTACCACACTTGTACAAATAACTACCCCATTAACAGCTACTACTAGCACTGCTATTTCACAATCAACAAAAGCATTGACAACTGACAGAATTCCTACTTCTTCCGCCACACTTGTACAAAAAACTACCCCATTAAAAACTACTTACAGCCCTATTGTTTCACAAACGACACAACCAATAAAACCTGACAGTATTACCACTTCTTCTACCACACTTTTACAAACAACTACCCCATTAACAGTTACTACCAGTACTTCTGTTTCACAATCAACAAAACCATTGTCAACTGACAGATTTCCCACTTCTTCCACTACACATGTACAAACCACTACCCCCTTAACAACTACTACTAGTACTATTGTTTCACAATCAACAAAACCATTGACAACTGACAGATTTCCCACTTCTTCCACTAGATTTATACAAACAACTACCCCATTAAAAACTACTTACAGCCCTATTGTTTCACAATCAACACAACCAATAAAACCGGATAGGATTACCACCTCTTCCACTACACTTGTAAAAACAACTACCCCATTAACAACTACTACCAGCATTACTGTTTCACAATCAACAAAACCATTGACAACTGACAGAGTTCCCATTTCTTCTACCAGACTTATACAAACAACTACCCCATTAAAAACTACGTACAGCTCTATTGTTTCACAATCAACAAAACCATTGACAACTGACAGAGTTCCCACTTCTTCCACTAGATTTATACAAACAACTACCCCATTAAAAACTACTTACAGCCCTATTGTTTCACAATCAACACAACCAATAAAACCCGATAGGATTACCACTTCATCCACTAGACTTATACAAAAAACTACCCCATTAAAAACTACTAATAGTACTATTGTTTCACAATCAACAAAACCATTGACAACTGACAGATTTCCCACTTCTTCCACTAGATTTATACAAACAACTACCCCATTAAAAACTACTTACAGCCCTATTGTTTCACAATCAACACAACCAATAAAACCGGATAGGATTACCACCTCTTCCACTACACTTGTAAAAACAACTACCCCATTAACAACTACTACCAGCATTACTGTTTCACAATCAACAAAACCATTGACAACTGACAGAGTTCCCATTTCTTCTACCAGACTTATACAAACAACTACCCCATTAAAAACTACGTACAGCTCTATTGTTTCACAATCAACAAAACCATTGACAACTGACAGAGTTCCCACTTCTTCCACTAGATTTATACAAACAACTACCCCATTAAAAACTACTTACAGCCCTATTGTTTCACAATCAACACAACCAATAAAACCCGATAGGATTACCACTTCATCCACTAGACTTATACAAAAAACTACCCCATTAAAAACTACTAATAGTACTATTGTTTCACAATCAACAAAACCATTGACAACTGACAGAGTTCCCACTTCTCCCACTAGATTTATACAAACAACTACCCCATTAAAAACTACTTACAGCCCTATTGTTTCACGATCAACACAACCAATAAAACCCGATAGGATTACCACCTCTTCCACTACACTTGTAAAAACAACTACCCCATTAACAACTACTACCAGTACTACTGTTTCACAATCAACAAAACCATTAACAACTGTCAGAGTTTCCACTTCTTCAACCAGACTTATACAAACAACTCCCCCATTAAAAACTACGTATAGCCCTATTTTTTCACGATCAACACAACCAATAAAACCCGATAGGATTACCACTTCTTCCACCACAATTGTAAAAACAACTACCCCATTAAAAACTACATACAGTTCTATTGGTTCACGATCAACACAACCAATAAAACCCGATAGGATTACCACTTCTTCCACCACACTTGTAAAAACAACTATCCCATTAACAACTACTACCAGAATTACTGTTTCACAATCAACAAAACCATTGTCAACTGACAGAGTTCCCACTTCTTCCACCAGACTTGTACAAACAACTACCCCATTAAAAACTACGTACAGCCCAATTGGTTCACGATCAACACAACCAATAAAACCCGATAGGATTACCACCTCTTCCACTACACTTGTAAAAACAACTATCCCATTAACAACTACATACAGTTCTATTGGTTCACGATCAACAGAACCAATAAAACCCGATAGGATTACCACTTATTTCACCAGACTCGTACAAACAACTACCCCATTAACAACTACTACCAGCACTACTGTTTCAAAATCAACAAAACCATTGACAACTGACAGAGTTCCCACTTCTTTCACCACACTGGTACAAACAACTACCCCATTAAAAACTACTTACAGCCCTATTGTTTCACGATCAACACAACCAATAAAACCCGATAGGATTACCATTTCTTCCACCACACTTATACAAAAAACTACGCCATTAAAAACTACTTACAGCCCTATTGGCTCACAATCAACACAACCAATAAAGCCTGATAGGATTACCACTTTTTCCACCACATTTGTAAAATCAACTACCCCATTAATAACAGCTACCAAAAGCACTGCTGTCTTACAATACCCACAATTTTTAAAACTTGACATGATTCCCACTTATTTTACCAAACTTGTACATACAACTACACCATTATCAGCTACTTTCTACAGTCACGCATCACAATCAATGATAAATTCACAATTAAACATTTTTAGAAAGAAAAATAAAATATTGAAAATTATTACACCATTAGCAACGACTGAAGTAATAATAAGAATGGCTAGAACTTATAACAGGGCTATTTCATCTCCATCAAGGACTACGAAAGTGATTTATGAACCAACAATAATTAACAGAATTTCCACAACATATAGGAATTCGGCCAAATTATTTTGGATAACTATACAATTAATAATGGCCAGAAATGTAACTAAAATATCATCAACGTTTAATAGACCAACTATTGGTACAATCATTTTTAAGAATTCCGTTCCACTACCACCATCGACTAAAATGACCACGATAGCAACAACTAAACCACTAACAACAACTAGAGCTCCAACCTTTATTAGAACAACTTTAAGCACACAGTTTACACTACCAATAATCATACTCCACGTTACGAAAGGAGACAACTCCAAGGCTATAACTCGGAATACGATGCACTTTGGTCGCTACCAACTTACGCGACCTCGTAGCATGAAGTATAAGCGAACAACAGCAACCATAAGGACTACAATAAGATCTAACTTTTGGTCTACAAATAATCCAAGTCCTCGAATTACAAATCAACAGTGTGATTGTAGTACTAATAGGATATATCCTGTATATCGGAGGAGATATCATTTCCATTTGAAAACAACATTGCGCCCTAAAAGGTATACAACCTTAATAAACAACTAATATGATGGATTAATACATGTTTAGAACAACTTTTTATTGAATATAAATATTTTTTAAAAGTTTAGGACATTAGAAGAACGTTTAGATCTCCGGCCAACTACATTGATATATTATGCCTACATCACTTTAATTTTAATTAATATCATGGTTGTTATCATTGGCCTTACTATGTTAATTCGAATGTGTTTTTATTCATTTGTTATACGTTTACTGTATTAGGATGGTCCTCAAAAAGTTGATTTTCAAATTTAAACCTCGAGGCCCCTTAAAAAGTTACTAAGTATAATAAAAATTAGGTTAAAAAAAATTCGAAATATATTTATTTTAACTCTTGCCCATTAAATGTTGAAGTTTTGATAGGATTTAACATAGGTTTCCACCACCTGAGTATAGTATAAATCAATGCATAACTTTTTTCCTACTCCAAGCTATAAGACCTTTAAAAAATTAGCCCAAACTAAGGAGTAGAAAAAAAGTTATGCATTGATTTGTGCACAAGTGTCTAAACCCTATGTTAAATCCTATTGTAGAACACCGGTTAAAAATGTTTCAATTTTTTTTTTTTATCTTATTTTTATTACATTTAGAGTCTTTTTAGGGCGTTGAGGTTAAAATCCGAAAAATTACTTTTCAAGGGCCTCCCTAATGTATGGTGTATAGAAATGTGTGTTAGGAATACTAAAATTTGATCTAGGCGGTCGTTACCCGATAATTATTGTGCTTGCTGAGACATTTCTTTGTAACTATTAAATATGTTAATTTATATTTTACAGAATATATTTAGATGAAAATATTATTGAGATTCCATCGTATACTCGAATGTTTGAAAATAGTAAAACAACAATACATGATCATATTTTAGAAGATGGTTCCCTGAAATCCAGCGGTGGATTTGATCCATTCAGTATGAATAACTTGGCTGCAATTATTTTCCTCAGTAAAAACGTCGATTTTTTCTAAACAGATAGCAACTATAGTATTTAGTTTTTATTTATTTTTTTTAGTGTTATACATAGTCAGTTTGTGGACTCTGATAAACTACATACGAAAACTACAAAGCATCAAAGTGAAAAAACGTTGCATTTGTAATTGTGGTGATATCATATGCAGAATCTGTACAGAATACATGCTGCTACATAATTGTTCAATCTAAAAAATATTATTACCGAAAAAATACATTATTTTTGTTTACTATTCTAAAATAATAATATGATTTTATAAATGATTTATTTCCAGAGATTAGAACCGCTGTAACGGCTAGTGAATCGCTACTACTTATGTGTTTAGTGCAGAAATCTAATTGTACAAAACGACATCGTTTGGTTTAACCCGATGCACAAAAATTATTATTTTTTAAACAAGATATTTAATATTTTTCTATTATTTAGTTTATTATTGTTTAATTGAGTTTCTACCAAAAATGACATTGTGTTCTGATGTATATAGGTTAATAAATGAACTATGTAAATATATTTATTTAAACGTTCAAAATATATCTCTATTGCACTAAATATGTTAAAGAATCATTTTTTTCAATTACGGCGTCTTTAGAATTACATTATACATTTTCATTAAGCGGTCATTTTCATTTTAGGTAAAAAAGAGAAGGGCGTCATGACAGTAATGCATATGCATAACATACATAGTCTCTAAACTTGCTACATGACTATTATTTAAACATTTTTATCGTGTTCAATTTAGATTAATATTTGACTTTTTAAAGTCATCCATTACAACACTTTAAGGCAAAACAATTGTTTGAAAAATAACAAAACCCGTTAACACGAATTTTTGTAATACTACTTATTTATCAATAGTATGTTCATATAAAAGTAATAACGTTTTAACCTGAAGTCATTTTTTTGGCAAAAGTAGTTTCGTACGAAACTCAATTAAATAAACCTAACCTAACCTTAGGCAATTTAAATCCCAGAGCTCCTGCAAACCTTCTCTCAACTGATTGTATCTTATAACATATACAATTTTACCATCCAATAATTATTATAAAACATAATTTTCATTAAAACTACTTTTTAATACTTATCACAAATAAGAAAAAGTTTTGTTTTTTTAAATTTTAATTTATATATATGTATATATATATTATACTTTTTTTTGTTTTTCAATCCGAAGATTGGTTTTTAACAAATGTTTTACAATAAATGGCTTCTCCATTTTTCTCTATCATTTGCCATATTCTTAAGTTCCCTGTAGGAAGTGACTCCTCCATCCTGCATTATTTGGCTAATGTATCTCGTCCTAGGTCTTCCTCTTGATCTTGTACCCTCTATCATTCCTTCAATTATTAAACTATGCAATTCATCTCCATGTCTCAACGTGTGTCCTATCATCTGCCATCTCCTTCTCTTTATAATGTCTATAAATGTTCGTTTTTCATCTATTGTCCTCAGGATGTCTTCATTTGATCTTCTATCAGTCCAGCTTATTCTCTGCATCTTTCTCCAACACCACATCTCCAGAGCTTCTAACATATCTTTTTCTTTCTTATTAATTGTCCAGGTCTCACTTCCGTATAATGCCACACTCCAGACGTATGTTTTTATGAGCCGTTTCTTCGTTACTATGTTCATATTTTTTGATGTTAGTATTTTTTTCTTTTTAAGGAATGTATTCTTTGCTTGACCTATCCTGCTTCTAATTTCCTTGGTTGATTTCCCGTCGTCTGTTATAATGCTGCCTAAGTATTTGAAATAGTCTACTTGGATAATTTCTTTGTTTTCTAATGTTATATTTATAGATGGTATGTTTTTCTTGTAGCATACTAGGGCTTTGGTCTTGGCTGCATTTATTTTCAGACTATATTCTTTGAACGTAATATTCATTACATTTAACGCTGCTTGTAAGTCTTCCTCAGATGTTGCAAGAACGACTATATCATCAGCGAAGCGAAGCATTGTTATTAGTACCCCTCCTATTTTTACTCCAATTCCTTTTTGTTCTAACCAAAGCTTTATGACATTTATTGCTTTTTCAATAAATACATTGAACAATGCAGGTGAAAGTGGGCACCCTTGTCTCACACCTTTTTGGATTCTGGCAGTCACTGTTGTTGTATTAATATTAATAATGGTTTCTTGTTCTTTATACATTTTATAGAGAATACGTCTGTCTTTAAAATCTATCTCTGTTTCTTCCAAAATTTTAAAGAGACTTGTCCATTTTAAGCTATCAAATGCTTTTTCTAGGTCTACAAAAGCCATATAAGTGATTTTTTGTCTCTCAATTTGCTTTTCAATTATTACTCTCAGACCTAAAATAGCCTCCCTGGTTCCTTTGTTCTTCCGGAAACCATATTGATCGTTTGCTAATCTAGCTTCTATCCTCTTACTTATCCTTTTACTTACAATTATTGCTAGTAATTTAGCCGCATGCGATATCAAGCTTAAGGTCCTAAAATTTTCGCACTGGTTGGCTCTAGGTTTTTTTGGTAGGATAACTAATCTACTACATCCAAAATCTCTCGGAATTTTCCCAGTCTCGTATATTTGACATAACAGTTCGTACAGAGCGTTCTTTATTTCATCCCCTGTCTGCTGTAGGAGTTCTGTGTTTAATTCGTCTGGGCCTGGTGCTTTGTTTTTCTTCATTGTTTGAAGTGCGTCTTCAAACTCTGATTTTAGAATCCTTGTATCTGCATTTGAATCAAAGTCGCCGTCGGTTGGGGTTTCAACGAGTAAGTCGGTGTTTATTTCTTCTCCATATAGTTCTTCTACGTATTCTTTCCATCTATTCGCTATCGCTATTTCATCTATAAGTAAATTTCCCTCTTTATCCTTTACGTGTGTGCATTGTGACTTTTTTTCATTGAAGTATCGTTTAATGAGTTTATATGCCTTATCCTGTTGATTGTATTTCATCATATTGTCTATTTCTTCACAATTCTTTTCAATCCACATCTCTTTGGCTTTTTTTGCTTCACGGTTTATTTTATTTCTTAACGTCTTATATTGTCTTTTACTTTCTTCATCTGTTTTGTTTTTAAGCAATCTTCTTCTTTCTATATCTTGAACTATTTCCATTGTTATCCATTCGCGTTTCGGTGCTGGTTTTTCCCTAGTTAATATTTCTTCTGCAGACTGGACAATAGATTCTTTTATGCGACGCCATCCATGCTCTATATTATTACAATCATCTATCCTCGGCTTACTTTTGGTTTCAAGTTTTTCTTTGCATTTCTTTTCGAACAGTTTTCTTATTTCTGGTTGCTTTAGTTGACACAAATTCCATTTATGTCCTTTATTTTTTGGTTTTTCTAACTTCTTGAATTTCAATATGGACTTGATCATTACCAGGTTGTGGTCACTGTCAATATCAGCTCCTGGGTAGGATTTACTCGATTTGATCTGGTTTTTGTACCTATTCTTTACCATGATGTAGTCTAATTGGTATCTGTTAATATCACCTGGCATTTTATACGTATAGCGTCTTCTTTTATGATTCATGAATAAAGTATTGGTTATAACTAAATCATGTTGTCTGCAGAATTCGACAAGACGGTCACCTCTTTCATTCCTTGTTCCGAGTCCGTATTTACCAACTTCTCTGCCGTCTGTATTTTCACCCACAATCGCATTCCAATCCCCCATGATAATTAAATTTTCCTTACTATTTGTGAGATTAATGAGTTCTTCTATCTTTTCGTAGACCTCTTCTACTTCTTCATCGTTCGCTTGTGTTGTGGGCATATATGCTTGTATTATTGCGATGTCATTAGGAACAGATTTTAATTTGATCAATATCAATCTATTATCGTAAGCAATGTGACTTCTCACACATTGTGCCCATTTTTTATTCAGGATAATGCCAACTCCATTTCTTCCATTGTCACCACCAGAGTAGATGACTCTGTGGTCTCCCGATATAAAGTCACCTTGACCATTCCATCTCATTTCACTTATCCCCAAAATATCAATTTTGAGACGTTTCATCTCAATCTTAAGATTTTCTAGTTTCCCTGTTTGCAACAGGGTTCTGACATTCCATGTTCCTATCATACTACAAGGATTTCGCTTGGTGACGACCTGAGGAACCTTGTTTGGCCTCCTGCCGGGAATAACCTCTCCGATAAGGTCGTTTCCATACATTATATCATTTATTGTGCTGGTCATTTGTTAATTGACTAAGGAGATTAATGTGGTGGTTTCCTCTTGCCTTCCACATCGCAGTGTAGTAGCCGTGTTCATGGTCTCCATGCACGCCTACTACTTCTACCTGGCTATAGCTGTACCTGC